TAGCTTGTGTTTTTCCTAATTAATAACTTTTGCAATCTTGACCAGGTCTGCAGTTGCAACGTGGAGTTTTTTTTTACCTAAAAATGTAAGGGGGGGGGGTAGGGACTTGGGGACAGTATCTCCTTCATATTTGTGAGAATTATTTGCTCAAAAGGAGGCTGTGAGAGGTTGGGTAACTTAAGGTGATCTTTCCACCTATGTATACCGGTACTAATTGCAGACAGACTTCAGTTTCAATGAATAAAACAGTTTTATTTAGAAATGTATAAAGTTATGTATAAAGGTGCATACAAACACACAAATCCAGTGCAACTTTGGAACCATACAAGGCTAGCAGAAAGAATGGTGTGAAAGGTTGAGTAGTGAGAAATTGAGAGTGAGATGGGGTGATAATTACTAGTTCTCAATATATATCTATGGAACTTGGAAAGTGGCTCAGACAGCATCTGAGAGAGATACAGTGAGTGAGCAAGACCTTCTGTGCACACATCAGGCTGGAGCTGGAGCTGATATGTCTGATTTCATACCCTTGGTGCTATCCTGTAGTGTTATCCAAGACCTGATGGTCTTCCCATGGAATTGACAATAGGATTCCAGAACGACTGATGGCTTTGGAGTAAAAAAACCTTGACTGGATTTGAGACAACCCCTTGATAGTAGATAGGAAAGGTGAATAGGGACACAGCCTGGGGTAAGAAGGAAATATGGTCTTTAACTGCTTTGTGATGGGACTCATTCAGTCCCTGTTGTGAGATGGAAAGCCTAGGAGAGGATAGAGTAATCAGCAAATGTATTTAACCTTTATTTAGTGCTATCTAGGTCCTCTACATGTCTCAGGGCCAGCAAGTCTTTCTCATGTGAAATTTCCTAGTTTTTTAAAGGTCATTGTGACCTCTTAAAAACATGCCTTATTCTAGATAGTATAATATTAAAATATGAAACCCCATATTCTAGTACAGGGGTAGGCAACCTTTCCCCTTTAAGGGCCGAGGGACTTCAGCTCCCAGAAGCCTCAGTCATGTTGGCCAATAGTCCCATGTTGGCCAATAGCTCCTGGGATTCTGGGAGCTGAAGTCCCTCGGCCCTTAAAGGGGAAAGGTTGCCTACCCCTGTTCTAGTAAGTGGGATGTAGGGCTGGCTAGCCATAAAAATCTTACAGGGCCATAGGTTGCTTTCTTCTACCCCAAAGTAATGACTTTCTTTTCTTGTGGGCCAGGTAGATAATATTTGTTTCCTTTTGAGATGATTTTACAATGCCTTTTTTGTCCCATTTTTAAAAAATCTTCAGTTTAAATTACTTTAGCACTGAAAAGGCTTTTTGATTTTTAAGAAAAGTCTAACCTGTATATCTAGTCACTGTTTGTGTGTTTTGTTTTATTTATTTTTTAAAAAATTAAGCAAACAATTTCTCTACCTAGATTGATGCAGTGTTTAGGTAAGAATACCTCCTTATGTTGTTAGGCTCAATGATATGGTAGCTCCAGTCAGTTCCACTAACTTGTTTCTTCCATCACGCTGACTTGATACATTATTTTCTTCCGGCTTGGCTAGACTGGGTACCAAGCAATACGAATCCACTAGAGGATGTAGGAGAAAATAGAGTCGGTCAACCTGACAAAGCTTTATGCCTTGTCCCAGATTTCCAAACGCCGCCTCGAGTCTTTAATCTTTGTTTCGCGGTTTGTACAGGTTTGTCAGGTGAGAAACATAATCAGTAAAATCTTAAAAAGCTGTTGCCCCTGCAGAAAGAGAGCTGCAGTCTTGATGCCACACTCCAGATTGGTGAAGGAGGTGCAGGGGTAAGAAATGGTATGTCTTAAAAAGAGAGAGAGAAAGAGAGACCAGCCATCCCAAGACTATAAACTTGCCTGGAGGACAAACAAGAACCAGTAATTTTAACAGAATCTGCTAGAAGGTAGTCTTTAAAAGAAGAGAGAGGGAAAAGGAGAAAAGCCCATCACGAGCAATATAATTAAATTAAGAGCAAGGTCACTCTTGTGCTGCTCATATTTTTCAGGGCAGGAATTTGCCTCCCAGGAGAACACAAAACTAGTTAAAGAGTGACACAGAAAGTTGATTCTCCAGCTTACTGATGGGCAAATTAAGACTGTGGGTTTTCTCCCCCCCCCCCCCCCCCCATGCTGGCTAAGCTTGAAAGATAGCTATTCCTGGGGTGTGGCTGAATGTGGTTGTATAAAATTCAAGGACATCTATTTCAGCTTTGACAAAATGGTTTCCTGATGTTACATGCCCTTGATCCCATATATGTGTATCTACTTACTTGACTGAGATTGATGGATGGATGGATTTGGGGCTTGGAATCATGGTACCATGGGAAGCTTATTCTTTACACTTAAAGTGGTGGTCCAGGGACTAGTAAGCAAATGAATAGACAAGTCTCCACATGCTTACTGATGGTTATATTTTATTCTTTTTAAAAGGTGTTATGGATATTCTGTTTCGTAAACTAGGATACAGTCTGACTTCCATAACCGTGGGATTGGTAACCATAGTTTCACTTATCCACGATCTGGGAAAAAGGTCTCTCTAGGCATCTGGAGGTCCTCCAGAGTGACTCTATGGTCAACCTCTGGCAGAAATATAGTGTTTGCCTTTATCCACGGTTCTCACTATCCATGGTAAATCTGGAAATGTATTCTCCGTGGATACAGAGATTGGACTGTATACACAAAACTTTTTTGCTAGATCCTTCATTGGCTCCAATTTCCTTTGCGTCTTCCTTTGCTTCCTAGCAAAGTCATATTTAACTTTAAGAAGCAGAAATGAAATGTAAAAGGATTAATAACATATAGACGGTATATGTGGGTAATAAGAAAACAACTTATAAAAAATGGCCGAGTAAGGGGAAGATTTTATTTTGCATGAACTAACGCCGTCTTTAATATATTATGAAGGAAATCGTATATAGTTTGTAATAATCTTTGTATACAATTTTGTTTTAAAGTGTTAATAAAAAATAATATAAATAAATAAATAAACTTTTTTAAACAATTAAATTATTTTAAACAATACAACCATCAGTAAGCATGTGAAGACTTGTTTCTTCTTTTGCCTGTAGATCCTAATACGTACTTCTTAGTTCCTGTTTGTGGTTCATGGGCCAGTGCTATTCCACAGGTCATTGGCTTTAAGTCCCTGTTGATTTTCCAGGAGAGAAAGAAACTGTAGCAGCCAATGAGCAAAAATGCCAGGCACAATATTTCCTAATCACCCACATAATATAGCTTGGGCACTGTTTTACACCATGAGGAGACAATACCTGGTTGGTGAACCACATCTGGCTCCTCATGATCATTCCTGTGACACTCTCTGTGTTGCCCAACTGTGCTGAGACTATGCAATTAAAATTTATGCTGCTGCCACCATCAGGATCAAAGTACGTGGCTTAGCAACAAAAAATTTGTCAACTATTGACTTACACTACAAGTCCTACAGCAGCGGTGGTTCTTTCTCCTCTTGCATCCTCTTTCTTTTCTTCACTTCATTGATGTTCTTGCAAAATTTAGAACCATGGATTGAACTGTAGAGATATGTGATGGCTGCACCAGTTTTCAGCAGCAGCAAGTTAGACAATATGCCCCCCCCCCATGAAAGAGATGAAGGTAAAGTGGACCAGAAACCCAGTCAAATGGAGTAACACAAAGGAAAGAGAACTTTAATGTCAAATATGCATATAGGAAGGCAGCTGGTGATCTAAGCACACACTCAGGAGGCCTACGCATAATGGGGCACATTTGACATTATATGAGACAAGTAGCACATGTTGAGAAGGTTACAGGATAGAGATTCATGAAAGAAGAACTAGAGTTAGAAGTTGCTTCTTGGGAATCATTCATGGATCATTGGGTCTTCCTTGGCTCTAGGCCACTAGGGTTGTCTGAGAAGACTTCAGAGGAAAACAGGACCCAGCAAATCTCTACAGTCTTTTGATACTCCAAGGCTACTTTGGTTATGTACTTGACGAAATAGTTACTGTGAGTCCCTGCTGAGCAATGCTATTGCTTTTCCCAGTTCTAATTACTAAATAACATGAAATTAGTAGAGAGAGTGAGGAGAGGGAAGCAATGCTGGCAACAGCAAGTAGCAAACAACTCTTGGAAGAAAGAGAACAGAAGATGGATTAAAAACAGATCATAGAAGTGTCTTGTCCTACACCATGGGGTGATCGAACATTTGGAAGGTAGTTGTCAATTTGAAAGCTCTTTTGCTTAGCTGCCTTTTGCAAAAATTAAGCTGAGGATTGTTACATGTTAGAACTGAGTGTAGTTCCAGGCTTCTCCAAGGCTTTGTTTGGTGCCTAACACTGACACACAATAGTGTCATAAGATAAGTAAATGATGCAGCACATGGTACACAGCAAAGAGGCATTCGAGCCCTTTCACTTAATGTGGTCCAGCATCCCTGAAGAACTAATTGTACCAATAGCAATAGCAAGTACATTTCTATACCGCTTATCAGTGCACTTAAGCACCCTCTAAGCAGTTTACAATCTGTAAGTAAATTGCCCCCAACAAGCTGGGTACTCATTTTAGCGACCTACGGAAGGATGCAAGGCTGAGTGGACCTTGGAGTCCCTGGGATTGAACTCACAACCTTGTGGCTGTGGATAGCTGCAGTACCGGCATTTAACCACTGCACCACCAGGGCTCCTACATATTTGTAAAAATATTGGTTTTGTTCATTGTCCAAAATCAAAATACCTAAGGGTGCCGACTCCCCCTCCTACCACTAGCTATGAGAACTGGGGGAACAGGTTAGTCACAGGAAAATTCAGCCACCTACCCCGCTGTTCCTAGCCTTTCTATATTTTCCCAACTTCATACTGCCAAGTGAATGAAAACAAGGTTACTAATGCAAATTAATTCTTTCTATACCATTGGGCATCTGTTAACATCCTAGGTGAATGAGGTCCTTACACATTATCTGGTTCTAATGGCTGCTGATGGTTTTAGTAGCAGGTAGTAATTATTCTTTTGGGAGCCAGTGTGGTGTAGTGCTTTTAAGTGTTGAACTACAACTCTAGAGACCAAGGTTCAAATCCCTGCCTGGCATGCCATGGGGTGACCTAGGGCAAGTCACACTCTCTCAGCCTCAGGGGAAGCCAATGGCAAACCTCTGAACAAATCTTGCAAAGAAAACCGGGAAAGATTTGAAGGCACAAAAAAATGAATAGTTCTTTCTGGCACGGTGCTTTATGCTGTTGCTTTTTGGAGGAAAGATAATCAGGAGAAAATGACAGGTCCAAACACATTTTTGTGGAACCCCTGTGAACAGCTCCACATAAAAAATCTTATTAAAGAGTTTGTCCTTGCTGCTGTTTGGAAGCTACCTTTCAGCCCAACTTTTATGAACATCTTCCAGAATTACAAGGTTGACAACTTTTTATCCTTTTTTTAAAACTATATATTTTTTTAACCCTTATAGAATTAGGTAGCCTTCCTGATGTTGTTGGTCTGCAGCACTAGCTAGCATAGCCAGTGGAGAAGAATATGGGGAGTTTCAGGCTAACATCTGGGTTTCCCATTCCACTCTTAAGGCTATGAACAGCTCTTGCATGGGTTTACAGCAGGGTGGGCAAAATGGGTCTAGATAATCGGTTTCATCCAAGACAGCATGGAGCTGAAGGGCAACCATAAGTCTTATCAGCCCTAGCCAGAATAATCAATGGTGAACAATTTTGGGGATTGCAGCCTCATAACATCAGGGAGCACACTTCCCAATTCTAATGTATTGGCACTGGACTATATGCCTACAAAGCTGAAGTGATGGAGAGAGACATGAGTGTTGCCTACAACTCTTTTTCTTAATTTGACAAAACCCAGCCTTTGCTCCTGTGCTTGTACAGATCTGTTTCCTACCCACCAATGACCTATAATTTCCATCTCTTTTTCTTTTCTGCTATGATTTTAGGCCCCTGAGGCTTCAGTTCCAAATTCTGCAAGCATTTGCAATTGGAGCAGAGCATACAAGATTATGTTCTCTTGCTTGGACTTTTTTTTTTTTTAAGTCAAATCATTTTCTGGTCAGAGAAATAGATTCTATTGCAGAGATTCTTCCTTGCTGCTTTGGAAAAGAAATGCACAGCAGCTGTTGCAGCATATTGAATGATACTGTTCACATCAACTGTCTGTAGTTGCATCACTTTTCCTCATCTCTTTCTCCATGCCCATCTTTGGCTTCTGTCTTCTTCCACAGAATAGAGCCTTCTTGGTGGTGGTGGTCCATCTCTGATGGTACCTTCCTAGGAAATCATCCCAGAAGTTTTTTATGTTGGAGGGCAGTTTGTAAAGCCCGTTTATTCTGCCAAGCTTTTAACTGGCACTAATCTCCCTAAGCTCTCTGCTTGCAACTTTCACCATTCTGTGCCTCTATAATTTAATTTTATGGGGACTTTTAATTCTTTTACATACCTAGCACCTTAAGAGAGTTTTAGGTATTCATTTCACTTAGATCACACCTTTCACCCAGGGTTGAGATGCATGGCAATTTAATTAAATATAATTAATTTTATATTTAAACATAATTTAATTTGAACACAATTAAAAAGGTTCCAGGAAAAAGACAATAAAATTATACATTAAAATACAATTATAAACACCAATGAAAATGGTTTAGAATTGCCACACTAACAACAAATGAAACAGTAAAATGTTCAGCATATTAGTAGTCCTTTGCCTGCACAGAAGGGCACAGTATGCCTGCTTGGCAGAAGGGTAGCAGGGACGGAGTTAAACTGGCCTTTTGAGGAGAGTTTCATAATCTGGAAGAGGCCACCTCTCTTGTTTCTGTACCAAATGTACCTAGGATGGTCTTGGGACTAAGAGAATCGCTTTATTTGCTGATCTCAGGCCCTAAGCAGATGATAGCACAGGTGTGCCAAGCCTATGCTATCCTCTGAGTCAGTTCCTGGGCGATTACAGTGATGGGTGGGTCTTTACATGCCTGCCCACCCATTGTTGCACCATGGACTCACTACTGCCATGTGCCCTGTGCCTGCCTCACCATTGGTCTGGTGAGAAGACCCCATCATGGCATGTCAGGTTGGAAACAGGGCACCTGGCTACACCCATGTGGCCAGAAGCCCCCTACCCATGTCAGAAGCCGTGATGGTTTTTTTTTTCCTCGCCAGATACAATGACAAGTATGGGGCACGTGGGGACGTCTTGTCTGCCAGCTATTGTTGCAGAATTTCCTTAAAATTCTGTGGCAAACCAATCTTTTTAGACTGGGGCTGCATCTGCACTGCACAAATAATCCACTTGGTCACCACTTTAACTGCCATGGC